CTAATTTTTTGTATTTTTAGTAGAGACGGGGTTTCACCATGTTGACCAGGATGGTCTCGCTCTTTTGACCTCGTGATCCACCCGCCTCGGCCTCCCAAAGTGCTGGGATTACAGGCTTGAGCCACCGCGCCTGGCACTCTTTCTTTTTGAATTGGTTATTTATTTATGAGACAAAGTCTTGCTTTGTTGCCCAGGCTGGAGTGCAGTGGCATGATCTTGGCTCACTGCAAACCCAGCCTCCTGGGCTCAAGCAGTTCTCCTGCCTCAGCCTCCTGAGTAGCTGGGATTGCAGGCACCCACCACCAAGCCCGGCTAACTTTTGTATTTTTATAGAGCTGGGGTTTCACGTTGGCCAGGCTGGTCTTGAACTCCTGACCTCATGTGATCCACCCACCTTGGCTTCCCAAAATGCTGGGATTACTGGCGTGAGCCATCGTGCCCAGCCCATCTTTCTCTTTTCAAAATAGAAACTGCAAATGATTTCAGTATTTCCCTTCCCCCACTGTCTTCCAGCCTCCATCCTCCCACTCTGTCTTCCTCCTGAGGGGGCATCCTAGAGATGCAACTGTGTTGTAGCTCAGCAGGGGGCGCTGATGCACCCGCCAAGAGTGGAGGTTTCCTACCAGTACAGGTGTGAGTGTTCAGCTGTGTGCTAGGGGGCTTCTGAATGATTATGCCCTTGCAGGTGTGTGTATTTGTATACCCTCAAGGGAAGAAGAGAGCGGGGGTGCTGGCCTGTCCTTTTCAGCGCTCTGTTTATAACCCTTTTGTTGCTCCAAAGATTGTGTTGTCCATGGAATGAATGGCTGGGACCTGCCTGTAAAGGGGAAGGGCAAGGTGTCTGAAGACACCTGGTTTTCATCAAAGGCCCCAGCCTCCTTGCTCCATAGCTCCTCTTGCCCCCACTCACCCCCAACCGCAGCCCTGAGAGGTGGCAGTCATTCTGCTGAGCAGTGGGGTGCTGGGAGTTGGAGGCTGGGCAGGGCGAGGAGGTGGAGTCTGCTGCAGGCTGGCTCTCTGATCGGGGCACAGGCCTGGGGCTGATTCCTGCTTTCTTATGGACATGTCTCCTGGAGCTGGTTCCCAGGCACAAAAGGCCCTTTTCTTCAGGGCCAGGCATGCGTGTCTGTCTGCCTCAACCCACTGGCCCCTTAGGAACGGGCTGTGCAGCTGTCTGCTCTCTGTTCATGATTAACTTCCCTGTCTCCCGCCCCAGGCCTGATTCCCACCCAGGCCCCCTCAGCCTTTCTAGTTCCCGGGACTGGGAGAGACCTGGGTTGGCAGCTGCCTGGCTCTGGGACGACTATGGGCTCTGGAGGCTGGAACAGGCCACGGAGATCCTGTGAGCTGGGACCTGGAGGGAGACCCTTTCACTGACTGCTGCGGTCCTCACTTCCCGTAGTCTGCATGTGTTTTTCTTAGCTCACCCCAAAGTGCCTCATGAATGTGGCCTTAGAGCACGGTAATGTGAAAATTCTTCCCTGTCCGTTCTCTTTTGAACTGGGATTTTTTTTTCAAGGAAAAAAATGGTTTGGTGCAGATGTGTCACTAGCACCTAACACCGCCTGCTTTTTTAAGGAAGGTGCTTCAAGCTTAGAGCTTTTGTCAGGCAACAGTATTGAGGTAAAATTTGATAAATTTATATTTGTTTTCATGGTAGAAATGGCAAGTGAGAACGGATTTTCATTCAGGGTTCAATAACGTTTTCTTGTAAAATTAAGTAAAGGCCGGCCTCGGTGGCTCACATCTGTAAACCCAGCACTTCGGGAGGTTGAGGCAGGTGGATCACCTGAGGTCAGGAGTTTGAGACCAGCCCGGCCAACATGGAGAAACCCCATCTCTACTGAAAATACAAAAATTAGCCGAGTGTGGTGGCGAATACCTGTAATCCCAGCTACTTGGGAGGCTGAAGCAGGAGAATTGCTTGAACCCAGGAGGTGGAGGTTGCAGTGAGCTGAGACCACACCACTGCACTCCAGCCTGGGCGACAGAGCAAAACAACATCTCAAAAAATAAATAAATAGGCCGGGCACGGTGGCTCAAGCCTGTAATCCCAGCACTTTGGGAGGCCAAGGCGGGTGGATCACGAGGTCAAGAGATCGAGACCATTCTGGTCAACATGGTGAAACCCCGTCTCTACTAAAAATACAAAAAATTAGCTCAGCACGGTGGCACGTGCCTGTAATCCCAGCTACTCAGGAGGCTGAGGCAGGAGAATTGCCTGAACCCAGGAGGCGGAGGTTGCGGGGTGCCATTGCACTCCAGCCTGGGTGAAAAGAGCGAAACTCCGTCTCAAGAAATAATAAATAAATAAAAATAAAATAAATAAATAATTAAAATTAAGTGAAAAGGTAAGTTGATGTAATTAAAACAAAATAATGAACAGCAGAGCAGCATGATGTTAAGACAAAGAACCGTGGAGGTGGTGGTGAATGGCCCAGCTGTGGAGACCTTTGGCTGGGCTCACTGCACACAGTGGCCGGAAATGGCCTTGTTTTGTGGTTTGCTGTGTGTTAACCCCGTTAGTTTTGGGCAGGGATGGTTTTCCATTTTTTTCCCTTGCCCTGGTCGCTCGCATAAAGCTGGACATACTGTGCGTGTTTCATAAATGCTGGTGGAACAGGTAGGCCTAGCATTGATGGTGGTTCCACTGTCTTTTATTGATGGGTCTTCTCGTGCTTTGGGGTTCCCTCTGTGGGGTGCGGGGTGTGGGTGTGATGGCTGTCGGGGCTGGAGTGGGAGTTAAGGAGGGAACTGCTGTCTATGCCCTGGAGGTGGCAAGTTTGTAGGGCAGGTGCAGAAGGATGGAATCTCGCCACCAGGAACATTCTACCTCTTAGAGACTCAGGAGTCAGGGTCTGAGAGGTTATGGTTTTTTGGGGACAGCCTTGTGTTTGCAGCCACATTGGGGTTGTGGAGGGACTGAGAGGGCTGGGAACTCCAGAATAAGAGAAAGAATAATAGAACTTGCTGGGTGGATTTGGTACCTTCATCATCCCAATTCCCTGTTGTTGTTTGAAGAGATGTGGTCTCACTATGTTGCCCAGGCTGGTCTAGAACTTCTGGTCCCAACTCAAGTGATCCACCTGCCTCGGCCTTCCCAAATGCTGGGATTACAGGTGTGAGCCCTCCTGTTACCCACGTGACCTTAACTAGCACTTGACTTGAACTAGCTCCCACACTCGCACCTGCTGGGAAGGAGGGTCCAGCCTTCTGCTGAGATGCAGCCTTCTGTGTGTGGATAAAATACACCCCATGCTAGGACAGACCTAAGGCCAGCACCCTCATCACTGTCTCTGCCATTTAGCAGAAGCAGTCCATCAGCTACCCTGTGGGTACTTGGGTGCTGTGTGCTACAGCGAGGCAGGAGAGCTGGAGGAGAAGCTCTGGGCTGTGCTGCTGCTCTTCCCTCTTCTCCACCAAGGACACTCATTTATTCTTTTTCCAGACCAATTCTTTTTTTTTTTTTTTTTTTTTTTAGATGGAGCCTCACTCTATCGCCCAGGTTGGAGTGCAGTGGTGTGATCTTGGCTCACTGAAACCTCTGCCCCCGCTCCCGGGTTCAAGCGATTCTCCTGCCTCAGCCTCCCAAGTAGCAGGCGCCTCTGGTGACAGGCGCCAGTCACCACGCCCAGCTAATTTTTGTATTTTGAGTAGAGCTGGGGTTTTGCCATCTTGGCCAGGCTGGGTCTTGAACTCCTGGCCTCGTGATCCACCTGCCTCCGCCTCCCAAAGTGCTGGGATTACAGTGAGTCACTGCACCCGGCTTCTAGACCGATTCTTAAGTCACTACTGGGATAGTACTTGCAGCCCGCCTAACCGGCAATCCCAGGAGTGGGCCCCGGGTTATTCCAATCTTTAGCTATAAAAAGATGTCCATGGCTATCTATATCTCTGATCCCCCACAACACCGGCAGGGAGAGGGTGGGAGGGAGGCAAGGCCAGTGGTAATAGCCTCTTCATGAATAGACCAGGTGGATTTTAGTACCACCCTGGGGCTCCCTTCCCTCCCCCCGCCAACTCCAGTGCCAGCAGTAAGCAGGGCAGACGCCTCCGGGCCTTGAATTTGTTTGCAGCCCCTCTCCCCTCTCCACCCAGCATGGTCCCCTTCTAGCCTGGATTTTCTGTGCTTGAATGCCAGACTGTAAAAAATACAAGGCAAATTGCCTCGGAGGACCTCTTGGCCCCCCTACAGGGCTGTTTCCAAAGATGGACTAAATTGGCTTGTTTAAATTCCCTCCAACCCCTTGCCCGCCGCCTCTTTCCCTAGGGTCAAAGCGGTGAGTGATGCTACGGGGGTGGGAAGTGGCTGGAAGGCTGGACAGCACGTGGAAGTGGATGAGGGGCTTGTGAGCGAGGTCCCGCGCCGAGGGTAGGGCCCAGGCCCTAGCCCTTTCCCCGGGACCTGGAGCGACCCTGCGTCTTTCCTTCCCTAAGGAGATGAGGCTGGTGAATGCGTAGAGGCCAGGGCCGGGGGGCGGGGAGGGTACAGTGGGGGCAGCCTGGCCTGCCTGGAGGAAGTGGGGTCGCCGTGAAGTTGGTCCTTGACCCTGTGTGGAGTCAAACTCCCAGGGCCGGGAGAGCCGGTGTCCTCGGGGAGCCGACCCCAGCCCGCCCCTGAGCCCCTGCGCCCCTGCGCCCCTGCCCTGCCATCCTTGCCCGGACCACGGGGAGAGGCGGGGGTGGGGGGGCAGAATTCTGCCTCCTCCACACCCGCCCCGACCCCGGGACCCGGGCCCGAGAGCTGCGAGCCGGGATGGGGTGGGGGCGCCCGGCTCAGGTGCCCTCTGTTCAGCGCGGGAAGGCCGGGAGGTGAGCCTGCGCGGGCAGCGTGTTTGGCCCGAGGACGCGTGTGTCCGCCCGGTGCCTATTTTCTCTCCGTGTTTTGAAGACAGTGACAGCATCGGAGAAGTATCCCGGGGCCGGGCTGGGGAGGGCGGCCGCTGCCTCTGCCTGGGGAGGGAGCCCGGGGTCGGGGTAGGAGCGGGCGAGGGAAGGCGGGGCCGGGGCCGGGGCCGGGGTCCGGGAGGGCGCCTGCGGGCCGCGCAGGGGGCGCCGAGTTCTCGGGAACGTGTCCCCTTCTCCCACGCCCCGAGCCCTCCACCATCCGGGCGGCCGAGGCCGGGGCGCGGGAGGCGGGGCCGGGGCGGGTCCCGGCGCGGGCGGCGTGTCTGAGCAGGAGCCGTGAGCTGCCCGCCCCGGCCGCGCCCCGAGCGAGCCTTGGAAATGTCCGCGCCGGGGGAGCCGACGGCGGCTGCCCCGCGGGCCCCGAGGAGACGCTGAAGGTCGCCGGGAGGGAGCGAGCGCGCGGTCACCTGACCCCCGGGGCGCACCTAGGTGGGGCGGGGCCCATGCGCGGCGGAGGCCGGGGGCCGGGGCGCGGGGGCCGGGCGCGGAGCGGAGGCGGCGGCGGGGACAGCTGCAGGGACAGCAGCCGGGACGCGGGCCGGCGAGGGCGCGGACGGGCACCGCCGGCGGCCTCGTCATGTCCCAGCCCGCGGGGAGGAGGCACTGCCGAAAGGCGGGTATCCGCGCGGCCGTGGTGCTCATCGGACTCCTGCACAAATCCCGGAGGCAGAATAAAGAGAAAAGGTAAGCCCCGGCGCGCTCCGCTCGCCTACGTGACTCCGGTTTCCTTCGGGGTGGACTTTTCCGATGGGGATTCGGCTCCGTGCTGGCTGGAAAAAAGCCTCCCCTCCCGGTGTTCTCGGGGAGAGAGTTCAGAGCTTTGCTCCGAGACCGGCTGGTTCGGGGGAGCCTGGGCAGGACCTTGGCGGAATCGGGGGCGGGGGAGGCTGGGAGGGCCCTCGGGGTTGATCCCTGACCGAGAGACCCCGAGTGGGTCGCCCCTAGACCCTGCGCTTGCAGAGCGCAGCCCCTTTTCTGAAGTCTGCGGCCCCTTTTCTGATACCCTCCATCCAGCTCGGCGGCTCCTTGCGCCCGGGTTGCCATTTGCTTCTCTGCAACTTGGCTGAGCCCACGAGGTGCCTGACTGGCCGCAATCCGCCTGCTCTGCGCGCGGTGCCGGCAGGCGAGGAGCAAGTTTGGAGGTTGCCCACTCCCCCTGCCCCCCGCGCCCCACCAGGGTGACTTCGGGTTTTCCGCCTTTGCCCCTTCGCCTTCCTTGAGTTTGTGCTTCTGTTTGCTCCTGGGGGTTGAAAATAGTTTTCTTTAGCTATTTCAGAGACGTTTTGGATGACCTGAGTGGTGAGAGGTGTGGGGCTTGGGTGGGCAAAGGAGGTTCTGGGAAGTTTTCTGGGCTGCAGCCCCCAGCTACAGGTCTGACATCCACCAGACCCCACGGAGCTACCCAGGCAGGTCCTTGGCACAAAGCCTCCCTGTTCTGCTAGGGTGCATGGCAGAGCCTCCAGCAATGGGGGGAGGGGAGGATTCATGCTGACTGCCCACAGAGATGTTGCTGGGGTTTGGGGTAACGTCCAGTGACCTTGCTGGATCCTCATTTCCAGTGGAGTTTTGGAGTGGTTAATACTGTACCCCCTGTAAGACATGGGCAGTGGGGCCAGAGACACCTGGGGGTGACCAACAGCCTCTGGACTTGCCACAGGCTGAACGCACCTGGGGAGGCAGTAGGTAGTGAATTGGGGACTTTGAGAAGCCGGCACGGATTGCCCTTGTGGCAGGTTGTCCTCCATTCTCACGTCCCCTTTCCTATAATGTAGGGTAGCAGGACGTTTCCCACAGCATAGAATGCATTTCCAGTGAAATGACATAAGGTGGCTGAGCATGGAATAACATTGAGTCACCTCGTGAGAAAGGTTCTTCCCTTTTCCGTTCTCTGTGAAGCCTTGTGAGTTCTTTAGGGGAAAGTTTCAGGTTGGTGCTAGTTGGTCTTTGACACCTATAAAAACACTTGCTAATCTTCCTTTTGTAACAAAGAGAGAACTGACCTCTGGCTCAGGCCCTCTAAGTGGAGCAGGGTGCCTGGCTAGAACGTAGGTTGTCTTATTTTTGTTTTATTTATTTTTAGGATTCCCTCCTGGTTAATGGCCAGGGGTACTGATTTTTTTTCCCATTTGTGGTAGTGATATAAAGCATCACTTTAAATTAAACGTATAAATCTATTTATTTATTTAATTAAAAATTTTTTGAGGGAGAGTTTCACTCTGTCGCCGAGGCTGGAGTGCAGTGGCAGGATCTCAGCTTACTGCAATCTCTGCCTCCCGGGTTCAAGTGATTCTCCTGCCTCAGCCTCTGTAGTAGCTGGGATTGCAGGCTCCCGACACCATGTCCAGCTAATTTTCTTGTATTTTAGTAGAGACGAGGTTTTCACCATGTAACCCAGGGTGATCTTGAACTCCTAAGCTCAGGTGATCCACCTGCCTTGGCCTCCCAAAGTGCTGGGATTACAGGTGTGAGCCACCTTGCCCCGCCAAAATGAATCTGTTTAATAGAAATAGTAGTAATGATAGTACAAGTGTTATGAAATATAGTGGAAATCCTGCAAGTGGTCTAGGTATGGCTGATGCCAGGGCCATGTATGTCTAGCAGAAAGAGCTGCGGTGGGAACTCTGGAGGTCAGTGTTCCAGGGCTGGACCCCATTTTGCCCTGGACTTTGATTCCCCTCTGTTTTCTGCCCTCCAGCATTTTATCTGTAGAGTGGTGGTGAACAAGTCAACTCTCTAAAGCCAGAAGGATGTATGGGATGGCTGGTCTGAGATAGCCTGGGCCGCCTTTGGGGGCTGAAAGGGAACATGTCCTTGGTAGGAAGGCAGATGCATGGGCCCAGTTTCTGATTCTGAGTATAGAAAGGTGGTGGTTGGTGGGTGGAGAGGAAAAGCCCCCTGCACCGAGAGCTAGACGTCCTCATCCTGGCTCATCTGTTGACTGTGGTATGATGATAGATTTCATCTCTGTGAGCATCATGTTTCTGTCACCCCACAAAAGGCTTGTGGGGCGCAAGTCAGATCATGTGAGTGAGATGTGACTGAAAGGTACGAAGTGCTGCAGCTGGGTGAAGGGGGTTTGATCAGCACTGCTCACACTCCTCTCCCTGACCCTCTGCCCTGTGACCAAGATCAGGTGTCTGGTGGTGATGGCCCCACCAATAGCAGTTAAGACCTGCTCATGGGCCTGGGCAGAATGAGTCTGTAGCGGGGGATGCAGTGAGGCATAGGGGAGGACCTGGATGGGGAGCGGGAGGGATTGGCCAGGGCCAGGGTGCCCCAGGCCTGTGGAGTCTTGTCTTTTCTACCTGAATGCACTGCGCCCTTGCCTGCAATACAGGCAGACCTTACTGGCCTTCCCAACCCCTGGCTTCATCCCATTCTTTTGTGGCTCCAACCATCCTGATGGCTTTGGCCATGGACTTAACCTACCTGAGGAGAAAGAGTGATTGGTTTCCTCATGGTGTTAAGTGACCTCTGCTTCCCTGGCTGTATCTGGAGTTTCTTTGTCTTTAAGCGTCTGAAATCAGTGCAGCGAACACTATTGACCCCGGCTCTGCGGGTACTGGTGGCCACAGGAGGCCTGGAGCAGGCTGCAGCTGCCAGCCTCTCTTCAGCATTCCCCAAACTCCATGCTGGGTGTTAAATTTGATGAGTTCTTCCTTCCTCCCCTGTCATCACAGGGTTGGGTCAGGCTCAGGCCAATTCTCATCCTTCTGGAAGGCTTGATCCATCCATCAATCTTTCCAGCACCTTTAATTGACAGGGGTGTGCAGATAACACTTCTGGTTCTTAGCTTGAAGGGTTGAAATGGTGGTGTGTGGCTTGCGGTGACCGCCCAGCCGTCTTTGCCATTCTCCTGCTCTCTCCAGGCCGCTTGGAAATATTGCATATTAAGGGACAGGGAGGTGTGCCAGACAGGGTGTTAGTGAGACAGGTGTCCCATATAGACCCAGTACTAGGAGACTCCCAGGCGGTCTTGGTAGTTCCTAAGAATGGTGCTCCAAGCTCCAGCTTCGAGAAATGGGTGTGGCACTCATCATTTAGGAGGTGGCCACACTCTCTGGGAATTGTAGGGCAGCCTGGAGGTTATGCCTCTTTCTGCCCATCTTCTGGGGTTTCTGGCACATAGGATCTTGTAAAAGCAGCAGCGTGTCTGAGAAGAGATTGAGTTTGAGCATAGCTGCCAGGAGACACCTGGATGAAGCCTTCCTCAAAATTGGCGGTTTGGAAACCGTTTTGATTTTCAGAGCCTGCTTCTTATAGATGTGGGTAGTGGGGAGCTCGGCTCTCTGAGGGGGAAAACAGGCTCCTTTGCTGGAAAGGACAGAGGCAGAGGAACACAATCAAAATCTGTACGCTCTTGGCTGGGCATGATGGCGCATGCCTGTAATCTCAGCACTTTGGGAAGCCAAGGTGGGTGGATCACCTAAGGTCAGGGGTTCGAAACCAGCCTGGCCAACATGGTGAAACCCCGTCTCTACTAAAAATACAAAAATTAGCTGTGCAGGGTGGCAGGCGCTTGTATTCCCACCTACTCAGGAGTCTGAGACAGAAGAATTGCTTGAACCCGGGAGGTGGAGGTTGCAGTGAGCTGAGATTGTGCCACTGCACTCCAGCCTGGATGACAGAGCAAGACTCTGTCTCAAAGAAAAAAAAAAGTACATTCTGAAAAATGTGGATAAAGTCAGTGTGGCCTTGGGTGTGACTTTCTGAACTCGAGAGAGGTCATTTAGCATAATGAAAACAAATCCACTTCTTACAGTGGCAGTGGGTAGTTATTTTGGGACAACTCCCATCATGGAGTTTATGAAGAGGAAAATATGGATTCACTCATCATTCAGCAAATTCTGGCAGGCTCTCAAGTGAGAGCCTCAAATCTAATGAATGTGATCCCTTTGTTGTGGAGTATCATATCTGGTGGGTTACTTCTTGGTAGAAAAAGCCTATTGCAATTCTTTTTTTCTCAAGCATACACAAAAGTAGAGAGAATAGGGTAACATAATACCTAGTTTCAGGCATTATCAACTTATGGTCAATCTTCTTTCGTTTATTTACCAATACACTCCTCCACAAAATTACTTTGAAGTAAATCTCAGACATTAGATATTTCATTGTTAAATATTCAGTTTGCATCTTAAAGACAAGAATTCTTGGCCAAGCACAGTGGCTCACACATGTACTCTTAGCACTTTGGGAAGGTGAGGTGGGAGGATCACCACTGGAGTCCAGGAATTTGAGACCAGCCTGGGCAAACTCAAGTAGAGACTCGTCTCTACAAAAAAATGAAGAAAAAAAAAAAAAAAATCGAGCATGGTGGCATGTGCCTTTGGTCCCAGCTACTTGGAAAGCTGAGGCATGAGAGTTGCTTGAACCTGGGAGGCAGAGGCTGCAGTGAGCTGAGATCCAGCTACTGTACTGCAGCCTGGATCAACAGAGGGAGACCTGTCTCAACAATAAAACAACAGAAGGTTAAGAATTTATTAAAAAAAAAAAAACCGTAACACTACCATTATTATACTTCTCTAAATTAACAATGATTTCTTAATACCATATTCAGTCAGTATTTGAATTTCCCCAGTTGTCTCATAAAAGTTTTCAAAAGCTTTTTTGGGTCAGAAATCAAATAGTACTAGGTGATGGGTGATGTGTCTCTTAATCTACTTTTCCTCCAACTCTTTTTTTTT